CAGAGCTAATCAGAAATAGAATTTTCTACTAACTCATTTAGAGTGGGGAATACATTTATGAAACTTTTCAAAGATCACCCAAAAATAACCAAGAATAAAACATTAGGCTACACACTGAGAAAAGGCAAAAGACTTGACATAAGGAGCTGAAAGGAAATAGCAGAAAAACAACAGAACAATTGGGAAATGAAGAAAGGAAAAGGCAAACAGAATTCTGTGATGATGATAGTGGCTAGTAAAAATATGAATAAAATAATATATAATTTACAACTATGAAAGGCATTTTTATTTACATTATATTATATATCATTACAATATATATCAACAGTGTGAGCCAGAGTGAGCAAAAGAGTAGGAAGCGGCCACCGCTCTGGCAGTGATGAAGCAGTTTTCACTAGAGGCACCAATGGAGTAATCCGTTTAGAAGCCACAGTGGAAGTGAGACAATAAATATAGACTACTTTTTAGGTATTTGATAATGTAAAGAAGGTTCTTCAAAATCCTTAAAATGGCCCACAAAACTGTATCTCTGAACTCTGCCTCTACTACTTAGCCCTTTCTTTTGGTTTACTCTAACACGCTAACTTCCTTGCTATTCTCGGATACGCCATAGATGCTTCCATCTTAGAGTTGTCTGTATATGTAAGAAACAACTATCAGTCTGTGACATGTTAAGCTAAGCAGAATAAAATAAACCTTATCTGCTCATTTCAAATATTAAGACACCATGATTTTAATCTATTCTACAATCTCTTAGAGAAGGTCCAATCTGATTAAATTACCATGATTTCAAGCTCCAGATACAGAGGTATATTTGAGCATTTCTACTTCTGGAAATCCATTACACAGAAATAAACACAAAACTAAAAAATAATATATATAGTGATTATTTGCCATATTATTAAAATCAAAGAAATGGAGATAAACATCTATCAGTAAGAAACTAGTTAATAAATTATGGAGTATCTATAAAATGAATATACATAATGTTCATTATAAAGTAGTCTGACATAGAATGTCCATGATATATCACTGTATGTAAAACCTAGGTTACACACATAGACTTTTAACTATTGAGCATACCTGAATCTAAATGCACCTATCTATAATTGTATTGTATAGGACAAGGTCTTCACTGATTCATAATCAACTCCTACAAAATAAGAAAAAG